CGTCTCACGCAGCAATATGATTCTTAAATCATAAGAATGACTTCAGGATCCCTTTGGCTCTGTCATGAGTGAATTGGAGGTCTGAAGAAGTTTCTAAAGACTATCTGACCTGACCAACAGAGAGCACAAAGTTCCTTTTATGGCACGTACTGCTTATTCACTACACTTTAAACGTGTTGGCTTGTCTGACACCTATTTACAGGGGACAGCATTGCTACTGTAGCAACAGTCCATTTGGAATGGAAATCGAGAGAGCCAGAGTTCTTTTGTGTTTGCCTTTTAAAGTCTTCTGCTTTTGAAATGCAAAGTGTCTCACATTTTCATGTGAAGGAATCAGAAATACTTATTACTGAATTGCTGAGAAGCAGCTGCTGTTTCTGTTTTTGGTTTCCTTGTCCTGATAGCAAAGGATGTCAGGATTAGGTTTTCAAGTTATTCATATTGACCATTCTCATTACCAAAGACCAAAACATTTGTTACTTAGTCCAAAATTAGTGCATTGTACATGCAAGTGGTAGTCCAGAAGTTAGCCCCTGGTTATGTGTCATCCCCACCAGGAACTATAAATTGGCTTAAGTTACAGTGCAGATTCAAGTTGAGATTAGAAGTATTGTTATAGAAATGGTCATTTAAAATTTAATATAACGAGTCTCAAGTTTAGGGAAATTAGAAGACTAATTTACTCTGAACTTTCTGTGAGTCAGATTGGAGAACAACTGGTTTAAGAACTTGAGAGCAAAGGTTAGATTTACTTTTCTCTAATTTTACCTGTGGTAAGTCGCTTAATTTTTCAGTATTTCTATATGTGGTGGAATAATCTACAGAATGCTTTTAATTTATTGGAAAACTTTAAGATGGTGCTTGTAGAAATGAACATATTTTTAGTAACTGATTATGTTGATGTGTTTTCTTTTAGAAACTTGTTGGGTAAACATTTGAGGGGAATTGGTGAACTCCAGAAAGTCGTAAAATGAACTTGAGCTCAGTTTTTTAGTTGAATTGAAGATCTAATTTCTGTTTTTGTTAGTATATATTGGTGCCACCTTTGGATTAGCAAGAGATAAGTTCACTGAGCTCATGGGGAAAAGTTCTTCAAAATTTTCAGAACCAGTAATGTTTAATATTTTTTTAATTCAAAATTTGCATTTGTAAGAATTCAAAATGTAACTAGGATAAACCAGTGTTCTTAGATATTTCAATTTTGGATATATTTATAAACAAATGTTTCATGGTTTTTAACTGTATGGTAAGTGATCAGAGATCCTAATAGGACTATTGCTTATTTAATATCATTAAGTTTTATTCTAAATTTTTAGAAGTTGTTGCTTTATCCCTTGGCTTATGCATTGCATGCAGAAAATAATAGTCTTTTTGAAAATGTTATGACAGTCACATAGTAGGATGGAGTCCTGGCGGTGTAGTGGTTATGAATTGGGCTGCTAACCCAACCATGTGGTTATACAAGGGCAGCAATTCGAAACCACCCACCTCTCATGGGGATAAAGATGAGGCTTCCCACCTCCATAGAGAGTTCCAGTCTCAGAAACCCACAGGGACAATTCTGTCTTGTCCTGTAGGATTGCTGTGAGTCTGAATCGACTCGATGCCAGTCAGCTTGATTGAACATATTATATGGCTTGCTGATTTTATACTTTGGTTCATCAAAAGTCAAGCTGGGTTTTTGGGTAGTTTTAAGTGAACACATACCACTTTATATATAGTGAGAACTCACAAGGGAAATAACACACATTAAAAAAAAACAGTGTAAATGGAGGAAGAATTGTAAAGACAAAGCTTACACATAAGTACCATCTGTATTGAGCCCTGGATAATACACTAATTTTACGTTTACCCAACTCAAACTTTGAGTAGCCTCCGAGAGGAGGAAAGACCACCCACTGGCCTCCTTCTGAGGGTTAGCTCTACTAGTAACCCTGTAAGCTCCTCCTGAGCTCTGCTAGTAACCCTGTAAGGAATCGCCCAAGCAAGCTGGGATTCTGTTTTTCATTATAACTCATTTATAAACAACTGGCAAGGAGAAAGTGATGAAATGGACAATGTTCTCTTGTCCAATAATTTTTTGGTGTAAATTGCATAGATGCACGCGGTTTCCTTTTTTCACTAGTAGATCATGCGTGGGAATTGTTAAAGCAGAATAGCAAGTTCTCTGTTGAGCATGTTTAGAGATGCACAAGCTGACATCTGCTTAAGTTAGCACTGAAAGCTAAAGTGCATTTTTCTAGGCAGAATATGAAGTGTGATGAAAAAATACTGTTGTCAAAATAATAATAGTTTATAAATTATCAAGGAGTCGTGAGGGAGGGGCCGTGGGGAGGAAGGGGAAAAAATGAGCTGATAACAAGGCCTCAAGTAGAAAGAAAGTGTCTTGAGAATGATGAAGGCAACAAATGTACAAATGTGCTTGACACAAGGGATGTATGTATGGATTGTGATGAGTTTTACAAGCCCCCAATAAAATGATTACAAAAAGAACTGTGTTTAGCAGTTGGCACACCAGGATCTTTTAATATGTTAGGGTAGTTTCTCAAGCCAAAATAGGAAGAGTCCTGAGTAAATAGCAGGCCTTGACACTTAAGGGGAACTGGTGAGCTTCGAATGGCTTAAATTGTGGAGAAAGTTAAATTGCAGTAAAGTAACCAGTATGTAAATGGAGATCTTAGAGTATTTGTTGCTTTGTAATTTTTACTTTATGAGAAGTCACAATTCGCTGAATCTCTGGATGACTTGCTTCTTACCATTTCAGAACCACGCATGAATTCCTGTTTGGTGCACTTGCAGAACTGGTTGATAATGCCAGGTATGTCTTTGTTTGTTTGTATTGTCCGTATTTGTAGTGTAAACTTGCTTTTACTCTTTGAAGGCTTGAGAAGAAGGCCAGCCTTAAGAGACCTCTCATCCAAAAAGTACTTTTAATAGCCCGTTAATTGATATATTTGGTTAACTTAAAGTCACTTATGACTCTGTTCGTTTGATTTCCCAAACTACCACCTCATAGTTCAGAGCAAAGTAGCTCATGAAATGTGGGGAATTAAGATAGAAACTTGGAAGTCACATCAACAGGACAGACGGCTCTGATTTAATTCATGCTACCTTTTGCACTGTGAGAGTTTTGTTAACTCCCAGTAGAGATATATATTTAATTGTCAGATAGCAGCTAAACTTTGAAGAAATCACTCTTGACACTGTCTTATCTTCAGTCTTATTTTTGAAGGATCTGAGTTGACCGTAGATGTGCTTCAAAACATATTCCCAGTTAATAAAACTTGCTGATAATGTCCTGTCTCCACTTAGGCTGTTGTTTTTATTATGAGCTGGTAAGCAAGTTGTTAAATCAGAAAACACTTTTTTTTTCCCCAATCCTGATTGACATTGGAAAGTTTATCACTTAATGGGACAATGTTGGGAATTTGCCATTTGTCAGCTTAGGAGAGCCATGATGGGCGGTAGGCTGCATTTTTGTGTATTCTGATCTAGAGGATTTCTGGGACAGTAGTCTATACTTTCTGAGTCACGGATGATAGTATCATATCTGAAAATATTTTTCTATATTTGGGAATACCTATATACTCGAGTATAAGTCGACCCAAATATCAGCTGAGGCACCTAATTTTACCACAAAAGCTGCATAAAAAATGTGCTGAAAAACTCCGCTAATACTTGAGTGTATACAGTAGGTACATGTGGAGCTGCAGGGACTCAGATGTTTTGCGTTTAAACCTATGAAACACGTGTGCCTCACTCTTCTTGCCTTTAATTGGCAGTGTTGAACTAAATTACCGCCAAGTCTTCAAGGATGGCTTGATTAATGATTGAACTTGGATGATTTTAACTGAAAGCTGGAGTCCAAATGAGGTGCCCTAACTTCTTTTCCAGACTCAGGAGTTAGGAGGATGGAGTATGAGCTTGTGGATCAATCTGTTGTGATGGTGTGTCTGCCACGAGACTGCTGTTGTCACAAGCTTGGTGGCACATCCTTGTTGTGTTTTTTAAAATCTTGGTGGAAAGGAAAATGGACAAGTTATTGGAACACCATTTATGGTGGCAGTCAAACTTGTGAGAGAACATTGTGTAACTTAGTGTGTAAAGGAGCATGTCCTCACTCATCCTGGACAGGTTTTCACCATGAGAACCACCCTCAGAAAACAAAAACAAGCCCAAGAGGCAAGCGAATTTTGGGAATGATGAGGGCAACAAATGTATAGATGTGCTCTACACAATTGATCTATGTATTGTGATGAATTTTATGAGCCCCAATAAATTGATTTTTCAAAAAAAGAAAAAACAAAAACAAGCAAACACAGACCCAGGCCATGTGTGTCACCTGATTCTCTTAAATAATCAGACAGTACAGGAGTGTTTCACAAATAAATTAGCAAAATTATGGAGCCAAGTGTATATAGAAATTGTGTATGGCTTCCTGACAACAACAGACTTAAGTATTTTGATGACTGATTTTTTATATTCATTCTCGTTTGGATCTTGATTTTTGTTCTTGTTCTTAATTTTTGCAGAGATGCTGATGCCACCAGAATAGATATTTATGCAGGTAAGTCAGACTTCAGCTCTTCCTTCGAAGGCCCCATTCCTCTGATGCAGTGATGGTGGTGTCTACGAAGAACTGAACAGGGAAGAACAGGGTTCTAGACCTTGGGGAGGGACACCATCCCTCCAAGTCATTGGTAGAAGCACAGCCGCTCGGGACAGGAACACAAAACAAGACAGGATGTAAAGAAACCAAAGGAAGTGTGCAATCTGTGTGAAACGCCCCCAGGAGGTTTGTGAGGGTGGTGGAGTAGCGCAGTGAGGAGTGCAGTGTCACAACGGCACCAGTCATTTTCTTGGTAAGAGTCAGTAGCTGAGATTGTAGTAGCCGCGGCCCAGGCCAGCTCTTGTGGGAGGCCAGTTTTCCCTTCTGCCTTTCTTTCTTTCTGCCTCTCCAACCTTAACTTAGAGAGTTGCTGGAGGCAGTTGCAGTAGACAGCTGGGGAGCTGAGTTAGCATTGAGATTTGAAGAGCAGATATTCTAAGGCAGATAAGAGAAGGACTGCTTTGCTTGGAATGTAAAAGATTGGCAGCCTCTATTGTTTTGCCTACATAATCTCACCTCTCTTATTTTGCAGTAAGATCCTCTCCCCCCCATCCCCACCAAAGTACCTACAACAATGGAGGAACTCTTTATCATTATCATTGGCCCTTTTTTGATTTTCCGCATTCCACCTGTGGAACACTTACTTGTACCAGCACTTGTTCAGTCATTTGAGAGTTGGAAATTGTGAAACAGAACAGAGGAAGGCAGCTTTTAAATTCCGTTTGGCTAGGATGACCTGTTTGCCTTTCACACTTCTCCGCAGCCTTCTGAAAGATTTGCGGTAATATTTTGAATAAGCGTTATCTGTGTGAGGATATGCAGTTATCCGTCAAGTAAGGCCTCTTCTTCACAGGCCCACTTGATAAATGAGAACAAGGGCACTCCCCAAGGAGGAAATCTCACCTTAATATCCTATCATTATGAAGTCTCCCCAGATCTGGTGACTATATTTTGGCACAAAGAAATTATTTACACTCACACATATCCTCACTGCCATTGGATTGATTCTGACTCGGAGCAGAACTGCCTCTTTGGGTTTCTGAGACTGTAAATCTGTACAAGAGTAGAAAGCCTCATTCTCCCTGGGAGTGGCTGCTACCAAGACATGCAAGGAAACTAGAGTTGCTAAGAGTGAGCTACATTGCTTAACATCTGAAAGGTACCTGCTTGAAAGGCTTTCTCAAAGACCTGTCAAGGCTCCAGGAACAAGGCAAGCAGGACAGGGTTAGGAGATGGTGCATAAAATGTTGGATCAGTTGGAGACACCTTTTCCAGGCCACCGTTTGCATTGTACCTCGTAGTATAATGAGCGGTCAGTACAACTATCTCCAAAAGAAACTGTGGCCATCTTAATGCATTGTACAGATTGCAAACCCAAACAGACCTCTGCTCTAAGTATCATTGACGGACAAAGAGCACCAGTGTCTTCCAAGAAGGAAGTTTTTAAAACCGATGATTTTTACTGTCCCCCCACCCCAACCCCTGGTGGGTGAAGTTCAGCGAGAAAAGGTACTCCTTGATACTCAGAAAGCAGCAAAACATTTGGATTTTAATTGAAAAGAAAAGGGCCCAAAGTACATTTATGCTGTGTGCACTGCTATGCCCTGGTGCTTTGGGAGAAATGCTACAGGAGGCAGATGAGACCGACTCTCAGGAAACTTAGCCTCTAATGGGAAAGACAGCATTCTAGAGATGATTTGAGAGCAATAAGTAGATCTTGAGGGGACCGTCAAGGCAACGAGGGATTAAATGATAAGACAGAAGCACTACGCACCACTGCATTTTGGGTGGAAGAAAACTCGGTTTACATCTAGAGCTTGAAGATTGAGAGTCTTGGCTAAGGCATCTTTGACTTTAAACTTCTTTGACTTTTGACTTCTGACCCATTCAACAAGAATTAGAAAAATTCTTTTTATAAATAGAATAATGGAACTGGTGAAAATACAAAGTTCTTCTTGATACCTGGGGAAATACTTTTCTGTTTCACATTCTAAAACTAGATTGGAAATCTCCCCAAACATGGGATGTAATTTTGAAATTACTCCAAGGTCACATTTTCAAAGACTCTTTAAACCTAAGGAGGTTGAAAAGGAGCTAGCCTTTCCATTGTTTTCCCCCAGCCGTGCCATAGAAGTGTCACACAAGGGTTATCAGTGACAGACTTTTCAGAAATAGATCACTAGGCCTTACTTCCAAGTCAATCAAGAGTGAGCTCATTGTGAGGTGTTGGTTTACGCAAAGCATGGCTGTTAGGTGAGACCCAATCATAGTAGGCCTGCCTTCCTGTTGATTTTGGACTGTCCTTCTGTTCATTTTCTTAACTTCCTGAGAGAGATAGTTCTATCTCCTGGAAGAAAGATCCCTTTGGTGAAACCAAAGCACTGGCTCATAAATGTTAAATTTAAATCGGAGGAAATGTAACAAATTGACACTGCTCAGATGGTTGCAGGGTGTGATGAAAAACTTGGATGCTTTTTTATAACAGCCTCTGCAACATGACTCAAAGGATGGAGCCTAGTAGTCTGTATTTTAATAAGCTTTTCAAGTGATGATATACACTGCATTTTACTATAGCTAGTACTTGGCAGCTTAAGCCCTCTTATCTTCCATATTTGGTCTGGTACAGGAGTGGATTAAGGATCCATCAGACTGAGTTCCATGAAGACAGTATCACAGTGTGTACTCTTGAGTCCATCACAAAGCCCGGCACATAGGAAGGGCTCAGTCAAACTTTCCTCGACTACGTGAATGATTGGGGTAAGCACTGTAGCCAGATGAAGGCACTCCTCCATTACTGTGCCAGCCCATCTCTTCTGCCTCTGAGGTGGAGTTAATGTGACATTAGCCCTGTCCTTTCACGAGATTGTCAATTCCTCTGTGGCTAAAAGAGTCTTCCTCCCTTCGCATGAAGAAGTATCTCTCCATGGTTCTTTTACTCGTAACTTGCATGAAAAAGCTTTGAAATAAAGAAGTCCTTGTGTTAGAACGAGATCTCTGATCTCTCGTCAAGTGATGCCCATGTACTAAAAGATCCCACAATTCCTGTCCCAATGTCAGAGCAACTTCCTGAGTAGGGTCAAGGAATGCCAGTAATTCTTACTGAATTTTCTAATGCTCTTGGCTCAAATCCGTTTCTAGAGCCTAAAGCAAAGCCACCTGGACCAGTAGACACTAAAGATTAGAGTTGTAAAGGATTTCATTTTAATTGGATCTACATCTAGTGCTCTTGGAAGCAGCAGTCAGGAAATGAGACAACGTATTGGCATGGGACAAGGCTGCATGGATCTCTTTTGAAGTGTTAAAGAGCAGAGATGTCACTTTGAGGACTAAAGTGGACCTAATCGGCCATGGGATTTTCGGTTGCCTGGACTGGAGGTGAAAGGTGGAAGATCAGAATCAAGAAGACCAGAGAAGAAATGATGCATGTGAATCATGGTGTTGGCAGACAACATTGAAAATACCATGAACTGCCAAAAGAACAGCCAAGTTTGTCTTGAAAGAAGTATAGTTGGAATCTTCCTTAGAGATGAGGATGGCAAGACTTTGTCTCACATACTTTGGATATATTATCAAGAGAGACCAATTCTGAAGAAAGACATCATGCTTGGTAAAATAGAGAGTTAGCAAAAAAGAGGAAGGCCCTTGATGAGCTAGATCAGGCGTCCTCAAAGTGCGGCCCATGGGCCACATGCGGCCCCCATTTATCAGGCCCACCGGGTGTTTTTGCCCTGTTTGTTTTTTTATTTCAAAATAAGATATGTGCAGTGTGCATAGGAATTTGTTCATAGTTTTTTTTAAGACTATAGTCTGGCCCTCCAACAGATCTGAGGGACAGTGAACTGGCCCCCTGTTTAAAAAGTTTGAGGACCCTTGAGCTAGATTGGTGTAACGGCACAAGCACAGTGACCATGGTGAGGCTCGCACAGGCCCGGGCAGTGTTTTGGTCTGTGGCACATAGGGTTGCCCTGAGTCGGAAACGGCTCTATGGCACAAACAAAGCAGAGCCGTCACACAGGTGTCTATACAGCAAATAGATCGCAGCTAGGCTTAGAATGCTGCCTTTTTTTTTTTTTTCTCGATATTTGAAATACAACTTCCTTCTGTTTTGAAATGAAAAGCAATGGGAATGAGAGTTAAAATGTCACCCCGGAATCTTGGGATGTGATTGCAGCAGCCTTGCATTTGAATTTCAAGAACGAAAAACCAATGTATTCCAAAACAGCTAGACAAAAAAAATTTTTTTAAAGGTGGGGTTTTTTTTTGTTTTTGTTTTTCAGTCATTGTATCTTATCACAATCCACCCATCCATTGTGTCAAGCACATTTGTACATTTGTTGCCCTCATCCTCAAAACATTTGCCTTCGACTTAAGCCCTTGGTATCGGCTGAAAATGAAGGCGTTAACTGCCTCGCTTAGCAAGCACCCGCATCACTGACGTCACAGGGCAGGTACCTACACAACTAGACTCTGACACTGGCTCCAGCTTCCTTCTCTCACAGGTCGTCATCCTCATCCAGGAGAGCGGTTGTCTGCGCAACCTCAACCACATGCTCATCTTGTGCTGCCAAAGCTGGATCCATAACCACCCCTCGGGGGGCAAGGGCAGGCAGGGCAACAAACTCCAAGTTAGGATCGCCAATGAGTTTTCTAGCAAGCCTCAGGGAGGCCTGTTCAAAGTTGTTGTTTGGGGCAGAAATGTCATAATACTGAAGCTTCTTCTTTCCGTGGAAGGTGATGGATTTTTGCCTTAACTTTCTTGTCCTTAATGTCCACTCTGTTGCCACACAGCATCTGGGAATGTTTTCCCAGATCCCGATGCCAGTTAGGCACATTCTTGTAAGTAACCCTTGAGGTTAACATCATAATGGCACACTGGGGTTCGATATAATAGCCATCTCTCAGTCCTCCACATTTTTCTTGACCAGCTGTCCCCCATATGTTGAATGTAATGGGTCCTCTGTTAGTATGGACCGCCGCCCCTAACGGGGGTGGACCTCAATGCCTGAAGTGGTTACATCTCAAGTTCACCAGTCACATGACATTTCACAAATGTCATTTTTCCAGTACCACCATCGCCCATGATGGCTCTTCCAGAATTGTTTCTGGGCCACATCTGACTGAGAGGTGGAAAGATGGCAGAAGTACTAAAACACTATTTGTAACCACACGCTACCTGCCCCAGTTTGAGTCTCCGTACGAGACTCTGCTTCCTCCAGAAGGAAACTTTGATGCCTTTTTCACATGTACATGCTTGCCCTGTCTCACTGAAATCCTCCAGACTCTAATAAGAGGCATTGCCATAGGAGAAACTTTTCTGATACTTCCAGGAAGATTCTTGCCCTTAAACTTCTACTTGAGCAACCCTGAGTGGTATTGGGAGATCTCTAGTTTCTAGCCCTTCTAAAATAGCATTTAAAGTTACACTGACTAATAGCACAGAAGACAGTCGCGACTCCCTTGAATTTTAATCTGAGTGGAGAACAGCCTTTTAAATTGAAATTCCATAGCTTAGATAGTGTACAGAGTTGGTGAATTGCAATCTGTGGAATTTTAAAGATAACCTCATGGGGAAGGCTCGAAAACAACCTTGACCTTGTTTCTACAGTGCCTTGCATTGCCTTGAACATAGTGAAAATGCTACTTTTATCCCAGTGCAAAGCAGTGGACTATGACCAGCATTAATAGTGGTAATATTGATGCTTGTGCTTCCTTCTTGACTTGTGAGGGACTGCAGTGGGGTGTCCTCTTCCCTCTCTTCTTCTCCTTGAGGTGTACACTCTCCTGATGTCAAGATAACCCTGGTTCTCCTAGACCTCATTATTAGGCCACAAGGTGCCTTGGGGGGTCATCTGGTGTATAACTCCCTGTGTATTTAGAATCTCCATTCCAATGTCCGTGACATGCCTAGGCTCGATTACTTTGAGTGGCTACTTGGTGCTTACCGAAGAGAGCTGCTGAAAGCAGATGTTCTTTTTTTTTTTTTTAATCATTTTATTAGGGGCTAATACAACTCTTATCACAATCCATACACACATCAATTGTGTAAAGCGCATTTGTACATTCATTGCCCTCATCATTCTCAAAACATTTCTTCTCCACTTAAGTCCCCGGCATTAGATCCTCATTTTGCCCCTCCCTCCCCGCTCTCCCCTCCCTCATGAGCCCTTAATAGTTTATAAATTGTTATTTTGTCATATCTTGCCCTGTCCGACGTCTCCCTTCACCCACTTTTCGGTTGTCCGTCCCCCAGGGAGGAGGTCACATATAGTTCCTTGTAATCGGTTCCCTCTTTCCTACCCACTCTCCCTCTACCCTCCCAGTATCGCCACTCACACCACTGGCCCTGTAGGGCTCATCCGCCCTGGATTCCCTGTATTTTCAGTTCCTGTCTGTACCAGTGTACATCCTCTGGTCTAGCCAGACTTGCAGGGTCGAATTCAAGTCATGGTAGTGGGAGCGGGGAGGAAGCATTTAGGAACTAGAGGAAAGTTGTATTTCTCATCGTTGTTACATCGCACCCTGACTGGCTCATCTCCTCCCCAAGAGCCCTCAGCAGAAAGCAGATGTTCTTTTGCTGACTGGACGGACCCATAATCTGTTGTGATCTCTACTAGTAGGCCAGGAAGCCCTGTCATGGCCACTCCAAAGCTTTTTGTCAAAGCATGCCTCCTTCCAATCAGTCAGGTCCAGCTGAGAGCTAGACCCAGGGCTTTTGTCTCACTCTTGGTTGGAGAGCCATTTCCAGGAATTATAGCAAGAAGAGTGTGGTGATGAAAGAGTAGCTCAGAAAACTACAGTTACCGTGAAGGACATAGACATTTTTCCCCTACATAGCAGCTGCCACTTCTGTGTGTGTACTGTGTCTGGCTTGCTCACTTTCCTCTGAACTTAGAAAGGAGGGGTGCCTCTTGAGTTGGGGCAGTGTTGGTAAAATACAATGTGAACAAGCGCCTTAGGGATCAAGAGCAGTGGGCAGAGACTGTCTGTCACCCAGATGGATAAAGGCAGAGAATGATTGGGGTATGTGTGTCTATTTTCACATGTCTGAGGCGTGGATAATTGCTGGCCCAGGTGTTCCTTGCCCTCCCAAGATCTGTTAAGTACCAGAGAACTCCACCATTAAGGGCGCTGAAGTTCAATCCGTACTAGCCAGGACAGTTCAGAGGAGAAACGAGGTGTGACATGGTTGCTTTGGACCGCACTGCACCGATTGCACCACTGATTGAACCCCAGTAATGGCAAATGGTTCTTTTGTAGAAAGGAGAGAGGACCTTCAAGGAGGATTCATGCTTTGCTTTTTGGATGATGGAGCAGGAATGGATTCAAGTAAGTGATGAGATGGTTAAGATTTGGGGAGAAGGGTGTAACCATTTGAACAAAATACTACTGCCATCCTATGGTGTAAAACATCCCTGCCCACGCACACACTGTTTCCTCACTATTGTAAGTAGAAGGTCCCCTTGGGGAGAGAAAAGTCTGTTGCAGCATTTCAACCTTAATACCATTAGGGTATTGGCCAGTTCTTATGGTAGCATGGGAGACAGGATTTGAATGACATCCTGATGTCTGTCCGACTGCCTGTATCTTGACATCGTCTTTGCCAGCTTGCCTAGCATCCTGGAACCGGAACTGTTGAGGCCTGCCCCCGCCCTATATCAATATTCTGGGAGCAGAAGCACACGTCTGAATGCTGGTGACCCTTACAGACCCAGCATAGGTTGTGTCCATGTGCCTCGTGACTGTCAATTTCCTTGAAGGAGAGGTTTTTCCATTTAGACACAGCCCTGCTTAGACTCAAAATAAGCTGATAACTATGAAGAGCCAAGGAAAGAAATGCAAACGTTGTACTCTCTCTTGTGTCTACCACTTCAGGTGATGCTGCCAGTGTGATCCAGTTTGGGAAATCAGCTAAGCGAACACCCGAGTCCACCCAGATTGGGCAGTATGGGAATGGGTTAAAATCGTAGGTATCACAGAAGCCTAACCCCAAACATAAGCATGCACTCCTTCTCTCCGATGGAAAGTGCCCTCCACTTTGTCTCCCTCCAGGGGTGCAACTCTGCAACAGGAGGGAAACCAGAAAGGGTCGTCTTTGGGGGCTGGCATCCTAAGTGGTGTTCAGCAGGATTTGCTCTCCATATTGGAATCTTGAATCTCTAAAAGCCGTTGGGGAGGGAGGGACGCTACATTTCTCTTGGTACTGACTGTTAGAAACATGCTCCTGCTCCTGCTGGAAATCGTTTTTACCTGGGGCTTGAAGGATGTGAGTGGTTGCATTGTGTGTGGGATGATGGGGGGGGGGGGGTGCATCATTCTACACAGCTGTGGTCCCCATGCATCTGGAGGGCATGACTGATGGAGATGCGGGCCTTCCCTGCTCGAGGATATTGTCTCTGTGCAATTGTAGAGCAAAAGGCCCCGCAGCAGGAACCTACCTAATGTCCTCAGATCCTCTGGGATTTCTTCCTCGGCTCTTGGTTCCCACTTGTTTAGTGTTTGGAATGTGTTGTTCTGGTTTTCAGCGAAGCCCCAAGAGAAAGCTTTCTATTTCTGAACTGCTGACTTCCAGCTGTACATACCTTTGGATATGGAGTAAGATGTAGTGGAATTGGAGTTTGTGCAAATGGAATTGCGAGTCACGTTTCTGGTCTTGTTGTGGCAACGTGTTGCTGGGTTTGAGGGATGTGGTGATGCCATCAGTCAGCAGCATCCCGTTGCCACATGTGCAGACTGCATGGAGAAGAAAGGGAACCCTTCCAAGCTCTTCCAGGACCTGACAAAAGAGCAAAAGAGAAATCAGGATCAGGCTGCCTGGGCTTGGTCAGTGCTCTCTCAGGGCAGGAACCCAAAGGATGTCATGAAGATTCACTCTGTGCCAGGCACTGTGCTGAAGCTTGGCAAGCAGGATCTCATGTAATCCTCACGAAAGCCTACTGGAAAGGATCCCCGGTAGTGCTGTCACTGCCAGGTAAGGTCAGCAGTCCAAGTCCTCCACTTGCTACATGGGAGAAATAAGAATCTATCCAGTCTGTGAAGGTTATAGTCTCTGAAACCCTATAGAAGGTCACTGTGAGTCACATAGGATTTGATGGCGTTGGGTTTGGTGTGGTTTGGTTCTAACCCTGGGCAAGGAACCCTGGTAGTGTAACAGTGCTCAGCTGCTTACTGTGAAAGCTCGCTGTTCGACTTCTCCCAGAGCGATCCGTCAATCTGCTCCCATGAAGAGTACAGCTTAGAAAGCCCTCTGGCAGTTCTGCACTGTCACCTGGAATCTTCGTAAGTTGAATTGAATTGAGGCCACCTACAAGCAACAACAACAGGAGTTTTTGGGGGGTAAATGGGTGGTTCCCTGGTGAATTCTGAACTGCTGCACACAGAATCCTGAGTCCAGTTCTTGGCAGGGCACCTTCCATGCTACCACCAAACATTTGTTTGTCACTGGAGGCTTACCTGTTCTATGATGCCAAATCCGTTTCAGTGGAACTTCTAGAGTAAGATGGCCCCAACGGAATGTTTAGTTCTGTGGCTCATGGGTCCCCATGAATTGGCCTGAAAGACAGCAGCTAACAACCATGACAGACAGCTCTCTCAGATGTAAGTGCTATTCCTATTTGCCAACGAGGAAAGAGTGAAATGTAAACATAAAAATGCATACATTTAGAGCCTGAGATATAAAACAGTTCTTCACTTCTATGCCCGAGTTGATATCCATTTCGCTTGAATCCGACAAACTAAGGTTTGGATTCCACTCCAGCCACTTAATTGCACGTCACCCTTGAAGCCTTAGCTTCTTGGTAAATTCAGGATTATAATATAGACCGACAGATTGAAGATGAAGGCCCTGGCAGTTTCTGGCATCTAATCTGATTTATTCATTTGTCTTTTCTTTTTCTAAAATACTTGTATTGGCACTTCATCCACACATCATACAGTTCAGTAGTTCAACCATAGGAGTTGCACAATCTTTACCACAGTCAATTTTAGAACATTTTCTTTTCTCCCCATACTCATTCATGTAATTTTTTTTTTCAATTGTGGCAAAAACATACACCAATTCAACAACTTCTACATACTTCATTGCCATTGAACTTCTTTTGTCTTTGCATGACTGATCTTGGCCTGAATCCAGGGATCTGGGATCGGGCCTAGGGACCTGTATTCTTTGTGTGATTGCATCGATGACCGCAGTCCTGTTTCAGTGTCAAGGACAGGTTCCTCCGTCGGCCAGGGAGGCACAGATCTGTGTGAGGGGGTTGCTTACAAAGCTGTTACGAAGCTGCAGTGAACAACCCCTGTGGAACGGTTCACCTCCGAGTCGACAGAAGCACCCCACAGCCTGGACTTTCACTGGGGCTCCATCCTTGTGAAGAGCCATCCATTGGAAAAGAGGCTTCGATTCTGTACAGAGTTGCTATGGGATTGACAGAGAAATGTGCCAGCCAGACCGAGAAGCAGAACCTTTGATGTGGTGAAAAAATGTGAACTTGTTCACTACAGATTTGTAAGGAAGCACGGGTCAGCCCATGCTTAACCTGATTTATTGGGTCAGCTGAACTTGTAAAGTCAGTGGGATGTTTTCCTTTTTAAAATCATTTTACTGGGGGCTTTTACAACTCTTACCACAATCCATCCATTGATCCATTGTGTCAAGCACATTTGTACATTTGTTGCCATCATCATTCTCAAAACATTTTCTTTCTACTTGAGCCCTTGGTATCAGCGCCTCATTTTCCCCCCTCCCTCCAAGAAGCACTACTTTCTTCTAGGAGTGTAGGCCACCTGGTTTTCTCAGTTCTGTGGCCTCTAGCAAGCCACGCATCTCTTGAGTGTGTTTCCTCATCTAAAACACGGGTTTCTGTGCTTAACATTCTTCTTCACAGAGTTCGTTTCAGAAGCACACGGAAAGTGACGAAGTGCTTGGAAGGTGGGAAGGGAATGTATACCAAAGTTGGGAGTGTTTTTAGCATATTTCAGAAGAATTTTTGTAAAGGGCCTGTTAAGAGGTGGAGCCACCTAGCGTTCAGAGTAGCTCGTCTGTGTGCTCTGAAACCAACTCAGAAGTGGAAAAGGGGTTCCAGGTGGAAATGCTTTTTGGCCAGACTAGGTCTGAGGAGCAGGGGAACCAGAAAGGTGACGTTTTCAGGTTCTTGGAATTTTTGCCCTGAGATCACAGAGAGGGATAAAAAGAGGGGCATAAAGTGAGCATTCTTTTTTGCCAAATTAGGGCAAAAGGAAAGCTTTTCTCAAAGACAAGATCATTTGCATCTTCTTGCTGCGTTTAAGTTTCGGGGAGAAAGGGAGACTTAATGCCAGGGGGAGGAACTAGAGGAAGAGCAACAGCACTTGGCAGCCTCCCGGGTGTTTCTGAGTAGCACCCTGGGAATTGTCCCGGGTGTTTGTGGAACTGGGCATATGATACTCATTTGTTCCCTTGGCATGCCCGTTGGTTTTCTATTTGTACATGGAAGAGGCGAATAGGGCTTCCCACCTCCAGCACGTCCCTGGGGTACTATGAGGACTAATGGTATAATAGCCGTAAAGTCTCAGAAGCACTTGGAAGAAAGGCACTTGTTGAGTGGGCAGCCCTCCCAGTAGGGCTTCACACTGCTCTGGGCTGCCTGGGATAGGCCTGCCCTTGCCCGCTCCTTGGGTGGTTTTCCCTCGCCAAACAGGAAAGAAGCAGTTGGTGCTATTCAGGGTTTTGCCTCGTGGAAGGCAGCCCCAAGGCACAGCTCCCAGAAACTTGTTATGCGGTTGCATTCATATGCCTGTGTCATGATGAACTTGAGGTGGCAAAAACAATTCTGAGACCAAACATGACTGTGGTTAATTGGATGGAAGCCAATCATTCTGGCGTTGTGTGCCGTGAAGTTGATGCGGTGTTTTTGTTGGTGGTTTCGAACTGCAGACCTTACGGATGGCAGCCCAACATAAGCGCTATGCCACCAGGGCTTCCTTGATTCTGACGTACAGTGGAACTCTCCAATAGGGTGGTCCAAACTAATCTTTCCAGAAACACACTGCCACACCTTTTTTCTATGGAGCAGCTGGTGAGTTTGAACTCCCCACCTTTTGATTAGCAGCCATTTGTTTAACCACTGTACCACCAGGATTCCTGAGCTAATTCTAGGCCTCCAGAAATACTATGGTCAAGAATTCTATTTTGCATGGTTGACTCCCGTGTTTGAGCCTTGCGTTCATACTGTTTTGAGAACTTGGGCTGTACCTGCTGGGCGGTTCCTTTGATGATGCTCCGTTTGCATCTCATGGCTACACAGCTGAGGATCTATCCACCCCTGTTTGGATCGGATGAACCCAGAGCTCATGGGCAGGAGTATTGCATGTTAATATTACAGCAGCAGGCTGGTAGTGAGGTGACCTTGGGACTGTGGTCATTGATGAACCTCTGTGCCTTGGAGAGTGCTTCAGGAGCCCTGGATGGTGGGTACGTGATGAAGAGTGTTACAGGTAAAGACTGTGGAATCACAGGGAAGAGAGGGAATAGGGTTATGGAACTCAATCAGTGTTCCTGGAACCCTAAGAGACCTGTACAAGAGCCCTGCCAAGGCATTTTCCAGTCATGTCCAGACGAAGGTTTTCAGTCTTTCTCAGATGAGAGTTTGGATTCCTGGGAGACTAATCTGTTTCTGCCTCCCTTTCAGGGGCTCAATGCGCATTGGGAAAGATTTTATCCTCTTCACCAAGAAGGAAGAAACCATGACCTGCCTTTTCCTGTCCCGCACCTTTCACGAAGAGGAAGGCATTGATGAGGTAGGTCTCACCCTCGTGGCCTGAGTCATCCAGCGCTCCTGAGTCTGCCCGGGCTGGATTCACAGATCATTTGCAAAGCTGAGCTCCTGCTCTCTTTATGGGAGGAGCTGGCTGAGTGAATTGGTTGAGGGGGTTAAAGGCAGGTATCATAATGTAAGAGGAAGTGCAACCTCAGAGAACTTCTGGGAAAAGCTTTAACTTTATGAGAATGAATCATATCGGGTGACAGGAGCCAAGTGTTGGATGTAGAGATCTAGAACTTGAATTCAGGCTGAGTGGTCACCATGCGGAGTTGTTATCCTGAGGGGGGTGGGGGGGTGGTGGTTTGGGAGCATGCCTGACTAGACGTGGAGACCACAGCTGGCAATAAAAACAACATTGCTGTCTTTCCCATCGGATGGCAATTCGGTGGACTGTGCTGTGAGCGCTTCAGCCATGAATGAGACACCTATGGGGCCCAGGCAAATAGTGCAGCATGTAAATGTATAAAAAGCATCCATGTCAGCTGCTTATTTAATGGCCGCCTCTGGAGAGGTGGGGCAGGGCTGCTTTTGAGACCCAGTTGCCGATTATTGCTATGTTGGAGGCACGCCTGATGAATTTAGAATTTTCCAATTTGTAACGATCACGGTAATAAATATATATGCTCAATTGATTCTTCCTGTGACTTGGTGGCTCAAATATCTGCCCACCTGCTTCTGGTAAGGTGTATATCCACCTACCTCCCTCCAACTCCTCACCCCCACCCCCACCCCTGCCTCTCCTTGGGGGCATCTGGGGAAGCCTATGACCTGCCTGGCCTCAATCTGGACTCTCATCCCATTTCACACCTGAGAAATGGAGGCCAGAGCTGGAGAGGAGAGACAATGGTGGGAGAAGGGTGAGCAATGAGTAGCAAGAGCATGTCCAAAGACCCTGAGGGTGGAGTGAGGAATGTGGGAGAGGTTTTGACACCTGGCCAACCTGAAGATAGGTGGGAGTGCATGTGGAGAGCAGAGAGGGACTTGTCAGGCCTGAGCTCAGGGCTAAGCTGAGTGTCTGGGACTTTATCAAAAGAGTACTGGGAAGCAGCCGTTAAAAGGAATCTAAGCAACAGTGTGGAAGTTCCTGGCTTTCTTAGAGAACATGAAGTTTGATTATCATATGATGATACACTCAGAAAGATTAGAGGTGGAGAGTTGGAGTGGACCAGTTGAGAGGCCCTGGCAATGTGTTGGCTATGTGGTCTGGCCTGGGCTCACAGCAGGGAACTTGGGAGAACGGATCCATCGTTTCTGTAGTATATCAAGCCCAGATTTGGTGAAGGATGCAGGGAAGAAAGGGCCATGTAAGAGCTGGTGGCCTGTTTGGACTTGGGGAAGAAGGGGCAGGTGTGGAGGGGAAAGTTTGAGTTATGTTCTGGACATGCCAAGTTATGCCACATTCCCAGAAGAGGTCTGGGCTCCACGGGTTGTGGTTAGCGAATGATCTCATCTAAGAGTGTAGAGAAAGACACAGACCCAGGACCTATTGCACATCCGTATGTCAAGGTTGGAGAGAAGAGAAAGTGGCCAAGAAGACAGTTGAGTGGCCAGAAAATTAGGAGGAAAACCAGGAAGGTATAGAGACATTGTTGTTCAGCGGGAAGGGTCTGGACCAGAGGATGGGTGCCAATGGCAAGTGAATGAGCTCACTTTTAAAGTGGTACCTTGGTCAACTGAGGCTGCTGGGGAAAGGGAGGTGTAGAGGGAGGTACAAGTTCACAGAATACAAATGGAACTCAATTCCCCTTGTGAAAAGACTAGGTTGAAATTTTTTCCTTACTTGGTGCTAGAAGGTCACTATTTTGGATTGTACTCTGGTGTGAACTCAGCCAAGATTTCAAAATAAGATCATTTTTGGCTGGTGAGGAATGTTCAGACCAACCCTGGAGTTTGAATACTATCAGCACAGCACTCAGATTCCAGCAAAGTCTTTCAGAAGCCTTAGCCGTTTCCTACCCTAAAGGTGGGTCCCTAAGATGGACCATCTGCTAGAACAGCGGTTCTCAACCTGTGGGTCGAGACCCCTTTGGAGGCCGAACAACCCTTTCACAGGGGTTGGCCGATTCATAACAATAGCAAAATGCCAGTGATGAAGTAACAACGGAAATAATTTTCTGGTTGTGGGTCACCACCACATGAGGAACTGTATTAAAGAGTCACGACATTAGGAAGGTTGAGGACCACTGGCTTAGAACCTCTGAGGTGCCTCTAGTCTGCAGAGGGAGGAAACCCCAGCGTCAGCCGTCTCTGTGCTTCCTGGGGACAGCTGGCTCCAGGGAAGGAAAAAGACCATGTTGGGGATCGGAAGAAGCATGGGAAATAAGGTCTCAAGTAGGATATTTGAAAAATACTGTAAGTGAGGAACCTAGCACATATACAGAAGTGTGTATTCAAGTCTATGTACAGTTGAGAGAATAACGATAAAGCCAGCACTCACGTAGCCACCACCCAGTTTAAAAACCTGTTGCATCACAGACTGATGTTAGAAACCGGTGCCACCAGTGATATTCGTCCCCCACCTCTGAAGAAATCAGATCTGACTTTTGTGATGAATGTGTCTTATTTTTCTTTATATCTGTACCACCAATTTATGTGTCCTTAAAGAAGTCTGGTTTTGCCCTTTTAGTAATTTACATAAATGAGTTCATGCATCTTTTTTTTTTTAACTTGCATACAACATTGTGTTTGTGAGATTCATCCGCTGTTAGTCTATTTACTTCATCCCTGCATAGCATTCCATTGTGTCGTAAGTAGGCCACAGTTTGATCGCCCTGCTCTCTGGAGGATATTTGGGTTAGTTCTACTTTGGGCTATCACAACTCTTGTTGCATTCTGACACATGGGTGTTGGTGCAGAAGTGCAAGCATGGCTCCAAAGGGTTACGTGGGATTACGAAGCTGAGAGGTAGAATTGCTGAGTTGTAAGGTATGGTGTCTTCAGATTCCCTGGACAATTGTGGATTATGTTTTCCTCGGTAATAAGAGTGCTGGAATGGCGTGTGTGTGGCTGTGACGCTGGAAGCTGTGCCATCAGTATAACAGATACCAGCGAGCACCCATAGCAGGCAGGTTCAGCACAGTTTCCAGCTTAGGACAGTAGGAAGAAGAAAAAGGCAGTCCCTTTGTCTTAAAATGAGCCACTGAAACCCTTATGAATAACCGAGAACACTGCCTGGTACACTGCCTGATGATGACACCCCCCCCTCTCAGGTTAGACGGCGCGCACAGTACCACTAGGGAAAGAGACCCGCCGCTTCAGAGCACGGTTGACCAAATGAGATGGATGGAGCAAAGTCGAAAGCCTTTGGGACCTTCATTTCTTGGTGGGGCCTGACTCAAATGAGAAGAAACAGCTGGTTGCAAACATTACTAACCAAGAATGTGGGATATACAAAGTAGGAATCTAGGAACATTGCAAGCATCCAAAATGAACAAGAGTGCATCAGGATGCTAACATGGACTGGCCATTTGAGGGAGACCAGCTAGTAGCCTGCTATGTGGGAATGTCCATATTGAAGATATCACCTTCCTCATTCAGAAACAAACCATTTCAGGACAATGCATTGCATCTACCTCCAACAATATGACTATTATTCAAATGAACGCAACAACTATTAAGGCCGAAGAAGAAGAAATTGAAGATTTTTACCCATTGATTCAGTCAAAAATTGATCAAACGTGCAATCAGGATAATTGATAATGGCTGGCGATTGGAATGTGAAATGTAGAAAAGAGGAAGGATCAGCAGTTGGAAAATATGGCATTGCTGAGAGAAATGATGCCAGGGATCATGTGCCAGAATTCGGCAAGTCCACCAACTTATTGAGATACCTTTTTTCAACAGCATAAATGACACTTAGAAGTGTGGACCTCTCTGCATGGAATACACAAGAATCAAATGAACTACATCTATGGGAAAATGATGGAGAAAGCTTATTATCAGTCAGAACACGATCAGGAACTGAGTGCTAAACAGTCTTGCTTGTATGTAAGTCAAGTTGAAGCTAAAAAGAATTAAAAATAGTTTCATGGGAGCTAAAATATGACTTTGCGTATATTACACCTGAAATTAGAGACCACCTCAAAAATAGATTTGACTCATTGAACACTAATGGACCAAAGACCAAAGGAGTTGTAGGTGACATTAAAGACATACACGGGGCCACAGCTCACAGCGTCTGTGGTAACCAGGCCACTGTTGTAGATTCACAGGAGAAAAAATGACTCCTGGACTGTGTCATACCACTGCGAGTGCCCCAGGCTGCACAAGCCAAACATGAAATTGATTAGAATACACTTTTGGAAATGAAAGCAGATACCCCGTATATTATACCCTGGATGGCAGCAAACCTGAATTTCTAAAGAGACTTGGTTATGGTGAGAATAATACATATAGGTATACAAAACACATTACTCTGTTTAATGGGAAGGTACAAGTTAAAGCTGTGGCAATCTCTGAATAATGTAAGAACATAGTGACTAAGCTACCTTTTATGCATAATATAGTGACACATTTGTATTCCTTGTGAAAATGAGTGTTACATTAATAGGACACGAAATAGTTACTTTAAAAAAAGACATTATACATGAAGAAACCAAAAAGTCATTTAAAAGACAGGAAAGAAAGAAAAGACTAAAATGGGTGTGAAAAGAGACTCTGAAACTAGCTCTTAAATGGAAAATAACTAAAGTGAAAGGGAGGGATGATGACATAAAAGCTACACAGAATGTTTCAAAGGACAGCTCGAGAAGACTAAGTCTTATAATGCAATTATACAGAGTTAGAAAACCCAAAGAGAAGAACAACATAGTCATTTATCTCTCAAGCTGAACATACCGAGAAGTTGTTAAAGTCTTGAGTTGTAATAATGAATTGCAGTATTCTGCGTGCGAAATATTGACTGATGCAGGATGCATCTGTAGAAGATGCTTTTCATTTGATATGAAATGGTCACCTTTCAGCTGTTTCAGGATGGAGTAGCATGTGATCAAGCACTGATGGAATTGAAGGAGGAAGTTCAGGCTGCATTAAAAGCATTGGTGGAACACAAGGCTCCAGGACTTAGACAGAAGACCAATTGAGATAGTTCAACAAATGAATTGCAATGTCGAAAATGCTCGCTCATCTGCACTAAGACATGTGGAGATGGCCAACTGCTGGAAGACATCCAATTCATGCCCTTTCCAATCAAAGGTGATACGATAGAATATGGAAACAATCGGAACAATATCATAACACATAGCAAGTAAAATATTTTGCTGAAGAAAATTAAAGATTCAACAGGGAATTGCCAGACATTAAGGATAAAGTTGCTGATGTCAAATAGATCTTGGCAGAAAGCTGAGAATTACCTGTGTCTTACTGACTTTGCAAAAGTATTCGACTCTGTGAGGCATAACGAACTTGGCATAAGATTGTGAAAAATGGGAATTCTAGAACACTGGACTGTGCTGATGGGCAACCTGTACATGGACCAAGAGGCATACAGCATTGGAATGCTGCATGATTTAAAATCGGGAAAGGTGTATACTAGGGTTGTACCCTTCCATTCTTAGTGTGTATGCCAAGCAAATAATAGGAGAAGCAGGACTATATGAAAAATAATGTAGCATCAGGATTGGAGGATGCCTTCTGAACAAACTACAGTGTGCAGGTGGCACAACCTTGCTTTCTGGTGGAAGAGGATTTGAAGCCCTTATTGAGGAAGCTCAAAGCCGTCCATGTGGATTTACACCTTAACATAAAATAAAACCCTCACCAGTAAACCAATAAATAATAACATGATAAATGAAGAGATTGAACTTCTTAAGATTTTCATTTTATAAAGAATCCCATACTCAATACCCATAGAAGCAGCAGTCAGGAAATCAAAGAATGTGTTGCAGTAGGCAAATCTGCTGCAAAAGATCTCTAATGTAAAGATGTCACTTTGAAGACTGTGTTAGAAGACTGAAGAAGCATTGTGCCTTTGACCTGTGCTAGTGAAGAATACTAAATGTATCGGGAGAATAAACAAACTTGGGTTGCAAGAGGTAGCTGTCCTGCTGTCCTTCTGCCTTGGGGCAAGAAAACATGGCCGGCTCAGCAACTTCTCCTCTCCTGTGGCCTCTCCTTTGGATATGTCCTCAGGACTGAACAGTCGTTGGAGAAAGATAGCATTCTTGGTAGAGGGGTCAGTACAAAAGAGAAAGACCCAGTGGCTGTGACAATGGGCTTCAATGTCGGAAAGCTGTGAGGATGACACAGGACCCGTGGGGTTTCATTATGTTGCACATGAGGTCACTGACTGGGAGCCAACTGGATAGCACCTAACAGTAGGATTTTTTTTTTTACTAAATTAAGAAGATGGCCAGAAGCCTAACAAATAAGTATTGCCTGCCCAGAGACCCAAGTCATAAACCAGCGTACTCGCCAGAGGTCCTGGTGATGTGAGGTTGAGTCTTGAGCAGGGGCAGACACTAAGACTTGCTAAGAAAGGTAGGAATCCGGGTAGAGACTCTGGTACCGCCAGGCTGAGGTGCTTGGACCACACCTCCGGGCACTTTGGAGCCCGTGGGAGGGTGAGAAGATAGGTGCACATTTGGGGAAAAGACTGTTGTGAGGCTCCTTCCCAGTGTCTGCGCTTACTCCCCAGGTGATTGTCCCTTTGCCCACCTGGAATGCCCAGACCCACGAGCCTATCACAGACAACGTGGATAAGTTTGCGACTGAGACAGAACTCATCTACAAGTACTCCCCGTTCCACAGTCAAGAAGAAGTGATGACACAGTTCATGAAGATCCCGGGGAACAGCGGTGAGTAGGCTGAGCCTGCAGCCCCCAGAACTCAGCAGCTTTAGAGTCACAAGTGAGATGGGAGGGGTTTGGGTCACCTGCTGGAAAGAAAAGAGGATTTCTGTTCCCCAGGAACATTGGTGATCATCTTTAATCTCAAACTCACGGATAATGGAGAGCCGGAGCTAGACATCATGTCAAATCCAAGAGACATCCAGATGGCAGAGACCTCCCCAGAGGGCACGTGAGTGTGGCTGGGAAGGGCAGGTGGCTGGGACTGAAGGTGATTTTCTTGGGGAGTCAAAGCGCTGTGGCGACTTCCAGGGAGAGGGGAAGCACTTCCTTTGGTTCCTCCGGGGGCCACAGGAGAGGAGAAGTTGCTGAGCTGGCCGTGTTTTCTTGCCCCAAGGCAGAAGGACAGCAGGACAGCTAAGCCAAAAGACAAGAGTAATGATTACATGGTCCTCGATTGGTTACCTTGATTTGGTAGAAGAAGAAATTGAGGCCTGGGGAAGAAGAAGGAATATCCCAGAATTCCACAGGAGGGTTAGTGGCAGGGTCAGATCAGGAATAACCCATGTCTGTGAGGCACCTGTGGTGGGGATCCTGACTGGAGCTGGTGCCCATGTTCTGGGAGCCCCCCATCAGGGCAGCAAGAGAAGCCGAGAGATGTGAGCTGGACCAGTGGAGGCCTGGCAAGAGGTACCTTTGACAGCACTCTGCTCTTGCTGCTTCCAGGAAGCCAGAGCGACGTTCGTTCCGTGCCTATGCTGCTGTGCTGTATATTGATCCCCGGATGAGGATCTTCATTCATGGGCACAAGGTGCAGACCAAGAGGCTCTCCTGCTGCCTGTACAAGCCCAGGTAGGTCCTCCATCCACTGGCTCCCAGGGGCCTAGCACGGACACTAGTGAAGATGCCTTGTGAGCAGCTTTGGCAATGCTGACTGTTCGGGCCTCTAAGCGTCGAGCTTCCTGCTTAAGTATAAGTGAAGTGCCTTCTGTGACATAGAAGGTCGAGGGTCCCCTGCTTAGCGTGGTGAGCTCTCTGAGCCGCTTGGCTCCAGGGCCTAGGGGCCTTTGGACACTGCACAGGAAAGCGCAGGCCTGGTTTTGTGTCTGCTGTGGGATTAAGGCCTGGTGATCGCCACGTGATGAATACTGGGAATAGAGATCGCTTACTCACAGCAACGGGAACAAATGACACATGGAACAAGACACGATCGTTTTCCCCAAAATAAACTTGCATTTGTCATTCACCGCGAGGGGCCTCGGGGAAGGTGGCAGGAAGGCAGAGTGCTTCGTCACCGGCCCCACTGCTGCTCAGGTCCTCCACGGTTGCCCTGTCTGCCCCTTCAGGATGTACAAGTACACGTCGAGCCGCTTCAAGACCCGTGCCGAGCAGGAGGTGAAGAAAGCGGAACATGTGGCGCGCATCGGTAATGCCCTCCCTGTCTGCAGAGAGTTGGATCCAGACCACTCCCGCTCGTACCCAGCCCCAGAGCTGTTCTCAATCATTGTTTCCTCCTGTGCTCCTTGTCACCCTCCCCATGTGAATCCCTTCAGCATTTTCCCTTCAGACTACTCCCCACTCCTAGGCCATTTTTAGAGATTGCTTTAAAACTGTAGCAGCAACTTGGTTTGTTCAGAGCAAAGATTCCCACATGCTCCATTATCTCTAATAAGTGGGAGATTGGTTTTCCTGACTCCAGGGCAAAATCTGCCTCTGATGCTGACCTGGGCTTCCTCAGGCTGCTTAGTGGAGCCTGACTAAAGACTTCTTTAGCATCCAACTCAAACCAAAGGCCTGCCTGGACCATTTTGTGACCTGTTAGGATTCATGTGCAAAGTTTGACAAGCAAGTCTCAGGTATAAATAGTGCCTGGTGTCCTTGGAGCCCTCTTGAGACTTTTGGAAGCCAGAAGTTTTTTCTTCAGTGGACTCTACAGTCCAGGCTTGATGGTTTCTCTCAGTGCTCATGGACCCAGTGTCCCCAGGACCAAGCTGCCCTTTCCCTTGAAGGTGATCCAGCAGGGCTCGCACCCCTCCAGGACTTCCTGAGGAATACCCAAAGAATTTTGAACTTTTGAGTTTCCTTATCATGATTGCTTCTGGGTTTCAGCTGAAGAGAAGGCACGGGAGGCAGAGAACAAAGCTCGGACGTTAGAGCTACGCCTGGGTGGCGATCTCACACGAGAATCCAGGGTAAGGAGTCAGACCCATGCAGCTGTCCCTGAGTCTGCCAGCATTCCCCAGGCTGGTCGCGAACCCGTTGTGTTGTTAAAGCTGAGAAATGGATGCTCAGATGTTTACGTGATCACGTAACATTAAGTGAATACACCGCCAAACTCGTGGCTCATCATTTTAGCCCGTCAGCTACCATAGGCAGAGGACGCTGTTACGCTCCCCAGTGTAAAGCTAGAGAAATGGAGATGTCAGAAGGCTCAGTTCCAGATCCCTAGGTCACACGCAGTAAAGTGACGTCCGGGCTGGATACAGTCCCTGCCACCCCTGGAGGTGGGCCCCTGGGTTTCCTTCTTCCCATCAGCGGTCCTAGCACAGGGAGACACCGCTGTGACTTGGTCACAGGGAGGGCCATCTTCGGTAGAATGGAGTCCACTCCCGGGTGTGGTTTTGCATGTCCTGAATCAGAGTGAGACTGTGCAGAGATGGGTGTTGCTGCGTCGCCTGAAGTGGCCAGAAGCAGCTCCCCCTCACGTGGTGCTAATGAACATTTGCAGGTGCTGCTGCGGCAGGTGCAGAACACAGCCATAACTCTGCGCAGAGAGGCTGACGTCAAGAAGCGGATCAAGGAGGCCAAGCAGCGGTGAGTGCCGGGGCTACACCACGTTGGCCTTCAGAGGGGTGTGCTTGGGTCCTGGCTCCTGCCAGTTACCTGTGAGAGTATGAGGGGCCCTCCCCCAGGTCTCCATTCTAGATGGAAGCCAGCTGAGAGCGCGCCATTGACCACTGAGTCCCACACACCTGTCACATGCCCCCTGCAGGAGAGAGAGGGTGGGCTGCTCAACTCACCCGCCACCTGGAATCAAGCATTGGTTACAGCCTCCTCGCTGGGAATGTCTCATTTGTTTCTTTTCCTTTTTGTTTTTTAAAGGGTGTAGAAAATAGCTCATTGTATAAAAATGGAAAAGCACAACAGTTAAGGAGTGACAAAATAGAACTATCCATGGGGTGCCGCCACCTCGTGATGGCTACTCTGTTACTATTTTTTACTTATGGGGAGGCTTCAAAGAGTTTGGGGTAGAGGGACCTTTATAAGAGGAGGCGGGCCTGGCTACTGCCGCTTGGGCAAGGCTGTGCCTTGTGCGGTTGGGAATTCTGCCACCTTTCTCCTGGCCCTTGTTTCTGAAATGAAATGTGTTTGACCTTAGGAAAGGGATGAGCTTGGTGCAGGCAGAGGGCGGTGGCCTTGATGGCTCCTCGAGTTCCTACTATTGATCTTGATCTTCTCTTTGGCTGCCTTTAGACAAAGACTATGCCAAGACTAGGGGCTCTAAGTTTTATCATTGCTATTAATTTATATCATCTCTTTTGTCGATGAATGTAAAAATGATTCTAAAGTAAGCTATGTCATAAAAATCAATCATGTATTGTAACTCAGGGGGCGAGGGGGGGTTGGGGAGAAGGAAGTCCATTATCTTTGCATTCCATTTTTCCTCCAGCTTGTTGGTGTCCTCTGGTGCCTCGATGGCTGTGAGTTTGTTTTTTGGTTTGGTATTTCCGATATTTTATTTCACTCCTTCTTAACCCCCCTCTGCAAATTTGGGAAAAGTTTTGTAGGTGGAGCTTTGTAGCATTTTCACCTGAAATGGGGATTTTTTTTCCCCATGCCATTAAATTATCCCATGTCTAGACCATTCTGGGCACCGGGGCTGGAATCGCATGCTGCTCCTTGTCTCCTGCCCAGTGAGAGGCTTTGTCTTCTGACTCTGAGTCAGTCTCTGTCCACTTGCTAGCTTTGAAGGTTTGATTGACATTGTTCTTATGAGTGTGTCTTCCCTTCGTGCCATTGTTCTCACAAGTTTTTGACTTTGCTGCTAATTTACTGTTATGTGAGTGGGGTTTGGGGGACGGTATGAAGGTTCATCCTGTGTTTATTATACCACATGACTTCACGGTCATCCGTCCATGTGTATACCCATCCCTGTTTTGGTACCAAAAACTTAAGCTGGAGACTTGTGGCTGTGTGGTGGGTGCGGGAAGCTACGCCATTGGTATTTCAAATCGCATTGACCATCATGGACAGGTTTCAGCAGAGCTCCCAGAGTTTTCCTAAGACACACGAGGAAAACGAAAGAAACGGTCCATTTTTAGGGAATTAGCCACTGGAGAATGTGTGAATAGCAATGCAACATCGTCTCATACAGTGCTGGCAGATCAACAGGTTGTTTGGAAGGCACTCATACAGGATCAGCAGAAACGAAGATGGATTGACCCGGTGGGGTGGCCGCAGTCGTGGCTCAGACGTGACGTGTGAGAGGCCGGGTCTGTGAGAGGCCGGGTCGCTAGGAGTCGGAGGCAACCTAGCAGCACCCAACAGCAGCACAAGCAGCCCCACCATGTGTCAGTCCCGGTCACTTGTGAGGGAGGTGGCACATGGAAAGAGATGCGAAATGTTTACAAACACTCACACATTTCGAACACTGCCGTCTGGCTGACAGAAAGACCTGCTTGAATGAGTCCTTTATCTTTCTTCTCAGAGCCCTTAAAGAGCCAAAGGAGCTGAACTTCATTTTTGGGGTCAATATTGAGCACCGGGACTTGGATGGCATGTTTATTTACAACTGTAGCCGCCTGATCAAGATGTATGAGAAAGTGGGCCCTCAGCTGGAAGGGGGCATGTGAGTACTGCCCAAGGGGCGCTTCCAACCCCAGGTGGATGGTGGGAGGGTCTGGGCCTGAGGGGTGACAGATGTGTGGACTGTATCCCCATACAGGGCATGTGGCGGGGTTGTTGGAGTTGTTGATGTGCCCTACCTGGTCCTGGAACCTACACACAACAAGCAAGACTTCGCCGACGCCAAGGAGTACCGGCACCTGCTGCGGGCCATGGGGGAGCACCTGGCACAGTACTGGAAGGACATTGCCATTGGTAATGGGTCTCTGCCCATTCTCATTGACTTTCAGGTGTAAATGCTGTACCGGAGGATGAATTTCAGAAGAGGGAGAGGCTATGTGATATATGGGTATTTCTCTTGTAGCCCAGCGGGGAATCATCAAGTTCTGGGATGAGTTTGGCTACCTCTCTGCCAACTGGAACCAGCCCCCTTCCAGCGAGTTGCGCTACAAACGCAGGAGAGCTATGGAAATCCCAACCACCATCCAATGTGGTAAGTCAGCCTGGTTGACACCCTCTCAAGGCCTCCCCGTTGTTGGCCCCTCTCCTCTGTCCTGGTGCTGCTTCCTGACAGTGATAGAAATTCGTGGACTCTCCGCCCCATTAAGGCTGGGGGACCTGTGAGGTCAGTAACAGACTCTGTTCGTCCTTCCTGAATGAGGCTACGGTCATATAGAGGGCCAGGCCTCACTGGGTTGGGTGCCCTATTGTCTACATTTGGAGTGGTATTTGTGCTGCAATCCTGCTGGATAGGGAAGAGGGATGGGCAGCCTTCCTCCCTCGTGGGAATCACTGGTCCCGAGAAGAGTTCTTCTGTCAGCACGAGCAGAGTTGGAGGAGAGTGAGAGTCTGGGGCATCTCTGCTGCAGGCCGATCTGAGAAGCCTCGGTCACACATGATACTGATGCGTATGGGTGACGTTTCTGGGGGTGATGTCTGTATTTCAGATTTGTGCCTGAAGTGGCGGACCCTCCCCTTCCAGCTGAGTTCTGTGGAAAAAGATTACCCAGACACTTGGGTTTGCTCCATGAATCCTGATCCTGAGCAGGACCAGTGAGTACTTTCTCCAACAAGGAAGTATGGGTACTCTTTCCCTTCCCCCAGCGTTCTCCCTGTTTTCTCCGGTCACTGTCCCTACAGTCAGTGTGTGGACATCTTGCTGCAGATCGTAGATTAGCAGATGAGCAAAGAAGCCTCAGGCATTGGTCGGAAAAGCAGGTCTCGGCCCCACCAGCACAGGCCCGTGTTGTGTGTTGCCGTGGCCTCCTAGACGTTTCTCACACAGGTGTGATGCTTCTGAGCAGAAGCAGAAGGTCCCCCTGGGGACGTTCAGAAAGGACATGAAGACCCAGGAGGAGAAGCAGAAGCAGCTGACGGAGAAGATTCGGCAACAGCAGGAAAAGCTGGAGGCCCTTCAGGTGTGTGTGTCGGGCGGGCGGCCAGCCTGCTCGTGGACCCCAGTGCGAGAGCCTCCGCTGAGCCCCACTTCCCTCAGGCCCATGTGTGCCGCTCAGGGTCCGGGGCCCCTGCCTCCGGTTCTGGGCACATTGTTTTTTGAGTGTAGCTTATTTACTCTTTTTAAAAAGCAAACTACATATTGTGTTGACAAGTGGTCCAATTCATGTAGAGTCTTGTAAAAAGCCAGATAATGAACACCCAGCCTTCTTTGTGGTACCTTCCCGCTCCTCGCTGCATGCCTATGTATCTGCAAATGTGTAGGTTTTTAAATAGAAATGTGAAGCTCATAATGCACGTTGATGTGTGTATTTTGTACATAATTTTCTTGGATTAATTTTTTAGAAGTGAAATGGAGAGTAAACAAAACAGACGAAATCGTTGCTAGAGTGCGTGAGCGAGCAGAACTGCCGCCTGGGGAAACGCGGCTGTAATCTTGGTGTTGTAGACCGCCACATCTCTCTGGAGGGGCTGGTGGATTTGAACTACCGATCTTCCTTAGAGCCCAGCACTGAGCCCGTTGTACCACTAGAGCTCACTGGAAGGATCAAAGGCTTGCACAAGTCTCTGGGTTTTCACATTCAGTCCCTGGTTACTACTCTCCAGAAAATGTGCTAACTTCTATTTTTTTACCAGTAAAATGTGAGAATATAGTAATTTTTAAATGTTTGAGCCATTTTGGTAGACAAAGATATGCCTCTGGTCATTTGAATTTCTTTTATATTTTTAAGATGAGGTATTCTTTTATGTGTCCATCAATATTTCTTTTAGTGCTGCTCATATTTCTTTGGGGGTGCTTATATATATGTTTTTTCTCAATATGTCAGTTTTAAAATGTTCGTGATCTCAATTCTTTTTTTTTTTCTTTTAAATCATTTGATTGGGTGCTCTTACAGCTCTTATAACAATCCATACATCAATTGAATCAAGCACATTTGCACATATGTTGCCATCATTTTCTAAGCATTTTCTTTCTGTTTGAGTCCTTGGTATCAGCTCCTCTTTTTTCCCCCCTTTCCCCACCTTCCCACCCATGTGAACCCTTGATAAATTATCAATTATTATTTTCATGTCTTATACCAGCCGCTGTCTCCCTTCACTCACATTGTTTTTCCCCTTTTGGGGGTGTGTGTTATACATCGATCATTGTGATCAGTTTCCCCTTTTCTCCTCCTCCCCCACCTTCCCCCTATCCTCTTGGTATCACGACTCCCATTTCTGTTCCTGAGGGGTTTATCCATCCTGGATTCTGTGTGTCGAGAGCTCTTATCTGCACCAGTGTACGTGCTCCATTCTAGCCAGATTTGTGAGGTCGAGCTGGGTGGGGTCATGCTAGCGGCTGTGGGGAAGCATTAAAGAACTGGAGGAATACCTTGTGTTCTGTCAGTGTGTTGTCTCAATTCTTGATCATAGTGCAAAGGCTTTTCTTCTCTGGCTTGTTTCCTGCCAGTGCTTTGCCGTCCCCATTGTGCCCTGCTGTCTTCTGTGCCCTCCTACCCCCGCTCCACACTGCCCCCGTCAAATCCCCGCTGTCCTTTGTCCAAGTTGTCTCCCACCCAGAAGGTCTTTTCCACTGGTTCCTCCTCTTCTGGGAATTGAGTCCATTTGCACGTTTTCTCATTCTCTCAATCACTTGCTTCATTATATAAACCAAATACCCCGGCCATAGAGCCATTCCCATCTCATAGCACCCCTATAGCATCCTGTGATTTGCTGATGTCTTTGTGAGAACAGGGGACCCATAAGAATTGAGCCGTGGCCCGTGGTCTTATTTGCCCTCGAGGCCAGACACCTGGTGGGCGCCCCAAAAGAGTTGACCTGCAAGTACCCAGATATGCAAATGACTTCATCTTCATGTTTGCCCTGTAGAAAACTACCCCCATTCGCTCCCAAGCCGACTTGAAGAAATTACCCTTGGAAGTGACCACAAGGCCTACCCCTGAGGTAAGGCAGCCCAGGGCCCCGAGAACATTCCCCCAGTGGTCCCGTGGTAGCTTCCATCTGCTTACTCTTCTCTGGGCTTTATTATTTTTTTTCAGGAACCTGCCCGTAGACCACAGCGTCCGCGTTCACCCCCTCTACCTGCTGTGATCAAGAATGCCCCGAGCAGACCCCCGCCCCCACCAGTCCTTAGGCCCACCAGCCAGCTACGCAGGGCCCCTGTGAACAGCAGTGCCCCAAAGCTGCCTGCAGCGCCAGAGGAGGCCAGTACGTCCAGACTGCTGCAACCGCCCAGGGCTGCCCGGAAGCCCAGCAATACTGTGGTCAAGGTTGTGCCTCAGCCTCCCCCTCTGGTGCAGCCCCCAACTCCACTGCCAAATGCCAAGACGGCTCCGCAGATGCCTTCCCTCCGAGCCATGAAACCTGCCGTGGTCAAGAAGCCAGAGCCACCCAGCAAACTCTGTCCGGTGAGAAACCTTTCTTCCTCCACCCCTGTCTCTCCTGAGAGGAGAGCAGACTGAGGGAACCAGGGTGGTCACCACGGCTAAGAGCCTCTTTGAAGAGAGGGAGCCTAGATGGCTAAAGGGACCAGTCTGGGCCCCAGAGCACGTTGGTAACTGGTTAGAATGTGCCCCAGCCTGGGCAGCCTGTCCCTGCAGCCTCTGAGCTGTCAGCCACAAGCTTGAGTGGCTTCTCCGGCTTGTCATGGTGGTGTAGGAGGCGGGCAAGGTTGGTAGCCACAGTAGTGCTTGGTGTGTTCCAGGGATGCTGGCCAGGCAGGCGAAGGGGCTGTGAATTGAGCGTCTTCCTTGCGACAGCTCTGAGCAGGGCCCCCTGACTGTGTCCACTCTTTGCCTTGCCCAAGGCTGTCCCTGGCCGAAAGCGCAGTTTGGGGGTCTCTGACGAGGACGAGGCTGAAGAAGAGGCCGAGAGGAAGAAGGAGAGGTCCAAGCGGGGCAAGCTGACTGTGAAGGAGGAGAAGAAGGAGATCCATGAGGTAATTGGTTGAAGTGAGGGTCTCTGAGCCTGCCTCCTCGGGCCCATCCTCCCCACCAGTCCCAACCACCGTGTTTGGGTTCTGTGATGGAGCCTTCTGGAAGCGTAGTTCATCTCTCTGAAGAACGCAAGCCATGTGGATGACAAGGAGACCTGGTGTCTCGTCACAAGTAGAGCTGTCCCACTTGGTTCTAGCTCGGATCACAGGCCCTCTGGGGGTGAGCAGTCCAGCCCATGGCAGAAGTCACATGGGGCGCTGGGCTGGGAAGCAGTTTCCTTCCTCACGTCTGCCCCGTTCTGCCCCTTGCCTGCTGTCGGCTTTAAAGGGGCAGCTGAGGGCAAATGGCCAGGGTAGTGATTTTAGAGAGGATCCCTCTTTGCGCTCTGGCAACTAAACAGCAGCATCGAAGACATGGCCAGCTGGCGGAGGGCCCTGGGGGGGCCCCTCTGATGGACTCTTCTTGCAGCTTTCTGACAGTGCCGGAGAAGAGGAGCCAGCTGAACAGAAGAGGGCTCAAAAAGGTGAGCTGGGGGTGGGGGTGGGGGGTGGGGCGAGGGGGTTTTCCCAGTACTCCTGGTGGGAATGGGAAATGGAAAAGCAAGCAATGGCTTTATCGTGGCGCCTCTGCACGGTCTGGGTCTGGATCTCATGCCACGGGAGTGCCAAGCCTTAGTCCCAAGAAGAATTCTCAGCACGGTGCCCACTGGTGCGTTTTTCTAGCACCAGTTCCTTGGCACTGGCCTCTGGGGCTCACTCAGCCTGCTGCTTCTTGGCCCCCTGCAACGGGCGGGAAGCCGGGGCGGCTGGGCTTGGTGTCTCCAGCACAGCATTCAGGACCCTCTCAAAGTGGGCCTGGCTGAGGGGCTCGGTTCCAGCCGACCCATACCCTGTGCCCCCCACCCCCAGACAAAGGGCTGCATGTGGAGGTCCGAGTGAACAGAGAGTGGTACACAGGCCGCGTCACAGCTGTGGAGGCAGGCAAGCACGTGGTGCGGTGGAAAGTGAAGTTTGACTACGTACCCACAGACACGACACCTAGAGACCGCTGGTAAAGCCGCTTCTGGGAGACAGGGTGGGCGGGGGCGGGCGGGCGCATGTGATTCTGGTAGAAGGTCTCCCCGCTCCCTGCAGGCAGCCCTTCCGGGAGCCTGGGGGCACACCTCCACACACCCCCATGACTGGAGGGCTGTGTTCTCTGCAGGGTAGAGAAAGGCAGTGAGGACGTGCGGCTCATGAAGCCCCCTTCGCCGGAGTATCCGAGCCCCGACACACAGCAGGAAGGTGGGGAGGAGGAGGAGGAGGTGGTGACCGTGGCCCCACAAGCCGTAGCCCTGGCAGAGCCCTCCACCTCGGAATGTGTCCGCATTGAGCCAGACACCACTGCCCCCAGCACCAACCCTGAGACCATTGACCTGCTCGTCCAGATCCTCCGGTGGGTGTGTTGGCCCCTTCGGCCGCTGGCAGCTCTGCACCCACCCCCACGCAGCCCTCGGGGCCTGACCCTGCCTTCTTTCCTGCTTAGGAATTGTTTACGGTATTTCCTGCCTCCAAGTTTCCCAATCTCCAAGAAGGAGCTCAGTGCTATGAGTTCAGAGGAGCTCATCTCCTTCCCACTGGTAAGTCTGGCCGGGCCCTTGGAGCCGGCACTCCGCCGTATCTCCGCCCTTGGCGCTTGTGCCCTCCCTCTGTCCCCTGCCGGAGTGAGATGTGTCGTTGCGGGCAGACTGCTGCGAGAAGGGGAAGGAGCCTTCGGCTAGGGAACTGCAGGGTGGTCCGGCTGGTGTGCAGAAAGCTGGTCGAGGCGTCAGTGGGGGCAGCAAACCTGCTTGGACCTGGCTGTGAAAGGCCACCCTAAGCAAAGTGACGAGGTTAGGCTCAAAGGGCAGTCGTGACAAGTCCCTGGGCCTTCCTCCCCCAGCCATCGGTGGTGTGCTGCCGCCCTGATGGCTGCCTGCGGGCCTCCAGTGAGCAGCCAGGAGGGGCTGGTGTCTTCCAGCTGGGCGGGACACTGGAGAACGGAGAGCAGGGAGAAGGGGGAGGCAGAGACAGGACTCAGTTTAAGGAAGAAAATGTGGGTTCTTTTGTGTGGGTGAGAGATGGGGAACTTGTGGCCCATGGCCCAGAGATGGAAGGACTAGGGGTCTAGGGGTCAGCCAGCAGGCTGTGCGGCAGAAAGGGCCAAAGAGAAGGGCGTGTGGCATTGCCGGCCTAGTCTAAGGTGAAGTGGCTTCCGCTCGGTATGCAGCGGAGGCCAGCAGGTGACCCTGAGCTGAGAGAATTGGCAATCCATGCTGGTTCTCAGGACTGGGTCAAAGAAGCTTTTGCTGCAAAGGGCTTTTGCTCTACGGTCTTTCTGGCAACTGCTGAGTTAACTAGCAGAGTGTAAGCACAGTCTTCCAGATGAGGCTCTGTTCCAGTAGTGCTTGACTGACAAAAAGCAGCGAATGGACTTGGTCCATAGGCCACCCTTTGTAATTTTGGTAGCAGTGTCTGTGGGTGGGAGGGGCAGATGAAAGAGACCGAGGCAAGGAGACCGGGCCAGTTGGAAGAGGCCCGAGGAGGGAAGGGGAACGGCTGCCAGCAGGGAGGGCGTAGGCAGGGCTGGTCTCTGATGGTAGGCCAGTGCCGGGAGGCTGCAGCGGGCACATTCTTCCTGTGTCTTGGGGTGGGTGTTGTCGGCTGCTGCTGAAGCTGTTCACTGGGAGCGAGAGCAGGTGGAAGAAGAGTCCAGGTGGATAGGGATGCCCTGGCAGCACCTTTCTGCTGGGGGAAGGAGAGTGGGGAGGGAGAACAGGAGGTCTGAGCTATAAGTAGTGGGGTGTGGGGTCTGGAGGGAAAATTTGGGTTTCCCAGGAAGCGCTTCTAGAGCAGAGCACTGGAGTAGAAAGTCCAGGAGAAGGGCATGGGCCCTCTTTTGGTAGGCAGGCATATGCACAATGAGGTAGCCGGGTTATAGCTTGCCTGAGACAGAGCTTTCTGTGCTTAAAAGTGAAACGAGGCTTAATAGTGGAAAAAGCAAGGCTCAGTGAGGCGAAGCATCTCAGGTGCCGAGTGTCAGAGTCCCAAGTTTTTGAATCCAGGCACTCTTAGGACAAAGGGCAGGTTCTCCTGGTGCCCCTGTCCTGTCCTGTAAGAGGAGTGGACCAAAGGGCAGGGCTCGGGAGCTTAGAACTCGGCCCAGCTCCTTCACGAGAAAGTGCCACGTTTCAACTTGTGCCCTTGTTTAGGCTTCACGGAGCGCCCTGCAGGTCCCAGGAGGGCTGGTCTGCCTGCCATCTCCGCAGTCCCAGATGCGTTGCTTTTGGCTCCAGGTTGTTGCCAAACGCAGAGCAACAGCTGGGGGCAGTGGGGCCTCGGCAGTGGGCTGGGCCCTAGAGACGCAAGCAGTGTGAGCGAGCGTCTGAGGCTATGAATAGCAGACTAGCTTGTTTCTCCAAAAAGAGATTTAATTCCAGTGCAGTGACTTTGTCATCCCAAGTGCAGCGTCTAAAATAACTCACATTTTTATTTGTTAAGCGTCCGGGTACGTCCTTGTCCGTCTCTATGTAATTGTTCATTTCCTTTTGCTCCACAAAGCTCACAGGACCCTGGGAATGAAGGTTTATATGTCATTGTAAAGTTAAGCACATGTGCTTCATTGTTTAGCACATCTTATCACCCTCTCAAAATAAGTTAAAACATTCGCACACAAAATAGGAGCTATGCGTTACTCAACCCTCATGATACGTTCTGTGGACGTTAAGTGATCTCGATTACTTTGTATGTTTATACATGTCCAGTACACACATATCCAAGGGACCCTTGTGCCAGACTACTCTGGCTTTCCTTTAGTGCCTCAAACTTTGGGTTTCGCAAACTCACACCTGCCACTGGCTGCCTCAGGGCATATAGCAAAGGTCCCTAGTGGCGCAGAGGACTAAGGGTTGGGCTTCTAAGCACAAAGTTAGTGGCTTGAACCCCCGAGCTGCTCCATGAGAGAAAGATGAGGCAGTCTGCTTCCCTAAGGAGGTACAGTCTTGGAGACCAGGTGGGGCACTTCTCCGCTGTCCTACAGGGTCACTCTGAGTGGGGATGGCCTTGACAGCACTGGGGTCAGGTTGGACAGCTGAGGGGAGCCCGAAGCTCTGTGAGCTGGTCAGCAGCCACAGCCCAGTGGCTGGACAGGGCACAGCCAGCCACAGGCTCTGGAGTTGCAACTGCAGCCTTGGGGAGGGTAAGGGACAAGGGGTCCTGGGCCTGCTAGTGGAAGACCCCCGCCAGTCTACGGGAGCCAAGCCATTGGCACAGTGTAGCAATTTGGTACTGCCCAACTGCCCCTCCCTGCTCCCCAGACATTGTCCAGAAGCTGCCCAAAGCGATGCTATGCATTGCACACATATAATATAAACCACAATCATAGTCAAGATGTCCTATACAGAACTTAAACACCTTAGAGCAGTGGTTCTCCACCTTCCGAATGCCGAGACCCTTTCATACAGCGCCTCGTGTGGTGGGGACCCCCAGCCATAACGTTATTTTCATGGCTACTTCATCACTGCCATGTTGCTACTGTTAGGAATCAACCCCTGTGAAAGGGCTGTTCAATCCCCAAAGGGGTCACGACCCACAGGTTTGCGCACCGCTGCTTTAGAGCCTACTTGAAACCTATAGTGTGTGCGTGCATGTGTGTGTGTCCCCGCGCGCGCGCGCACACACAATAGGAAGCTTCTCCTGCCGTGTTCATTGTGTGGGGTGGTACCTCGAGCATGAGTGCCACGGTTAACCAGAGGGAAAGCCTGGTTTCGGCTTTGATTTTCTGTAGAAACCATGTGCTTTTAGTAATGGGATGCGTTTTAAGTGAAATAGGGGGGAAAGTCTTTTTGAGGTCATAGATTTTTGGTACAATTAGTGGGGTCCATGTGCCATGGGGGCTCAACACTGGTACTGGTGTGCGTGGGGGGGGTGCTCATTCCTTCGTACTGACTCAGTAATGAAGCCCCCACCAGGTGACAGCATGCACTAAAGAGGAGACGGGAGCCTCCCACTAAACCTCCAGGTGGGAAATCTCAGAGGGTACAGCATGCCTGGCAGTTCACGTAAGGCTTCAGTTTTTGCCAGTGAGAGTTGTCAAAAGCAGGAATTGCTCACATGGCACCTGTGGACAGAGGTCGGTGGCCACTCAGCCTGGACAGCAGGATTGTGGGTCATTGGTCATCAGACGCCCTCTCCATTCGCTTGGATCATGAGTACGGGAAGAGGCGCTATGGCGATGTCTCGCGTAGCGTTCATGTGTACGACGGGCTCTGCCATCTTAAAAGGTGGAGAGAAGCTGGAAAAGACTCTTGTTTAGGGTGACTGGCTGGAGGGCCTGCTGGCTAGCTCTGTGCCTGCCTCTCCGCAGTGCCCAGTGCTCAGGAGGGCAGGAAGGGGTCCTGAGAATGGCAAACATGTTCGCAGTGCAACCTGGAGTCTGAGGTGCTCCGTAGACCTTTGGGGCCCCCTGGTGACAGAGTGGTTGTGCATGCGGCTGCTGACCTCGAGGTCAACAGTTCAAACCCACCAGCTCGTTACTCCGCAGGAAAAGAGGCTTTCTGCAGCCCTGAAGAGTTACAGTCTCGGAAGCCCACGGAGGCCGTTCTCGGTCCTGTCAGGTTACTCGACTCCATGGCAGGGAGTTGAGTTGTGGCTCTTTTATTGGGGTGGGGTGGGGGGGTTGTTATGTCTTTGTGCAAGAAAAATTGCTCAGGCCTGACGTTGGTGCGAGTGACAGAAATGGATGCCTGGGCTGCCTTTCCTAGGCTCCAGAGGAGGGTGAGATAGAGCCAGTTGAGTGACTGTCAACCGTCCCGTGTGCTACCCAGAAGGGGGACATTCTGGCGTCACTGACGGCCGGTTGTCTGCACAAGCTGGCCACCAAGTGTTCCTACACATGTGACCCCTTCCTCCTCCCACAGCCTGCTTTCTCAGTTTGGCATCGAGTGACGCGTGCAATGCCACACATGATTCACAAATCCCAGGTCTTTTTGCTCTGGAGCCGGCCCGGCCATCGGGGTCTGTCGGGGAGGTCCCTGGGCCCCGGTGAGCTCACAGGCACGGTGTGGCCCCTCCTGACAGAAAGACTACTTCAAACAGTATGAGGTGGGCCTGCAGAGCCTCTGCAACTCCTACCAGAGCCGGGCCGACTCGCGTGCCAAGGCCTCCGAGGAGAGCCTGCGCAGCGCCGAGAAGAAGCTCCGCGAAACCGAGGAGAAGCTGCAGAAGCTGAGGACCAACATCGTGGCGCTTCTGCAGAAGGTGCAGGAGGTGAGCCAGGCAGCGGGGCTACCTGGTGCCCCAGGGAGGGGGCTTGGGCCCCTCGTGCTCCCTTCTTCTCACTCCCAGGATGCTGTGGCTCACAGCGTCCCATGCAGCGCCCGGTCTCACCCCAGCCAAACCCACAGAATCCGAATTTTCCCCATGTAAGTGATTCGGATGCACAGCGAGGCCGAGAACCCTCCAAACCATAAACAGGGCAGTTCTCCCTTTCCTAAGAGGATGCGAGATGAGCTTGGAAGCCTAGGAGTGCGCAGGGTTGCATAGGGTCTCTGCCCTTCACCCAGGTAGTCAGCACCAAGGGCCTGCTCTGTGTGTCCCGTGGGTACAGGGAACAGGACAGCGCGGGGAGGTTCCTGCTCTGCCGTAGATGCCAAGGTGGCAAGTGCTACAAAATACTATCCAAAACGGGGGGGTGGGGGGGGTGGCGGGGGGTAGGAGGTATGAGCTGACTAGAAAGACGCTGTGTACAAAGTGAGGCAGTCCCGCAGGGCCTATGGCCTGACGTGTGAGGAGTTGTGGGCAGTAGGAGGACAAGTGCCAGGCCATATGGCCATGTCCTGAGTGAGTTAGGATTTGATGCTAAGAGTCATGGGAGTGACTGACTGACTTGCCATCTGGTTGGTCATTTCTGGGGGAGGCCTAGAGGGGCCAAGGAAGGCATGCGTCCAGGGAGGAGGCACTTCTAGTTCATAGTCTCGGGGAGACACGTGGTGAGGACCCTGGATGATGACATGAAAAAGGATGGGGGGGGGGGGCTTGGAATCCAGGGTGTGGAGCTGAGAGGAAGGAAGGTGGTACCCTGTATTGAGATAGGAGCATCTTGGGAGAAGCCTGTAACCCTTAAGGCAGCTGGGAGCCTAGGGCAGAGGCAGGGCTGGAGCCAGAACTATGGCCTCATCCAGACATAGTGGACAGTGAGGGGGAAGGAAGGGGTCAGAGAGCAAGATGGATAGAGCCGCCTCCCGCCTCCGGCACTCGTCTGACCCCTGTCCTGCTCTGTTCTAGGACATAGATATCAACACCGATGACGAGTTGGATGCCTACATTGAAGACCTCATCACCAAGGGGGACTAAGGGGCAAGGCATCACCCCCTGGCCCACCTGCCCCGAGGCAGCACCTTCCTGGGGTAGTGTTTTGTTCAAGGGTTGACGGACTTACCTTGGCTTGACTTATAATGGGACATTTGTGCTTTTGGAGGGGAAAATACTCAATTCTTCAAATCTGCCTCCCTAAGTTTATAAATATTTATTTTTAAAAAGAAACAAGATACTGTGCCTGCTGCAAGACCATGCATCCTGGCCACGCCAGGTGCCAGCCTGAGGGGACACTCTGCCTCTGGCCCCTTAGAGTTAGAGGCGCCCGGGGCGATCCGGGAACCAGCGAGGCTCCAGGGCAGGCTGGTTTCTGCCCTCCAGGGGGAGTGGTGCTGGGGTCTGGGGGATGGGAATGGAGAATCTCCCCAGGAGGGGTGTTCCTGCTCGGGGTTGAGATCCAAAGGGCTGTGTGTCTCACAGCTTTCCCTCCGCAGGGATGTCAGAGTCCATCTCCAAACCAGCTCAGGGAGAAAGATCTTCCCTTGTCTACCACCCAGTTCCATCTGAAGCAGTCATCTTCTGCTGGTTTAACCTTGTAGCATGACGCGCCGCCTCCACAAGAATCCACGTGGTGAAGGGCAGACCAATGTAGTGCTGGCCCATCCTGTGACCTCGCAGCACTCTGAATATTTGCATTCCAAAGGATTCTTTTGGGAAAGGGCCGTGAGTGTGAGCGGCTGCTGGTGCTAAGGTGGACAAGGCCGGCCGTCTGTGGGTGGGGCTGGTCTTAGAACAAGTCACTTCCTCCGATGGTGGGGACTCACTCATCCAGAGCCTGCTGCCATTGTTTCCCGCCACATCTGCCGGTCATGGTCCCTGCATTGGGACAGAAAGGAAAGCCAGTGAATGGGCGATGGGGATTCCAGAGGCAGCTCTGCAGGAAGCGCACCACCCCTTTCCATGGGAGGGCTGCCCTGGCTCGCTCAGAGCCTCCCACCGCCGTGCCCCTCAGCAAGTTGTCTCAGGGCCAAAGTCAAAGGCAAGAGTTGCAGCATCCTCTTTCCTGACCATGGGGAGAATTCCGGTGTAATTTCCTCCCAACTCTCTCGACAGTTTGGGGCCCTTTGGATTATCTGAAGACACAAGAAGGATGGCCTTGGACCCTTGGTCTGCGACTTTTAAGCTTCTTGGGGTTTCTCTGGCATCTACTTGACCCGGGTCATCAGTGGCCCACAGTGCCACTCTGAAGTCTGTAAGATTGGCAGCATAGGTGAGGGGAAGCAGGCCCTACTGGCATCAGAAGTCCTTCCCTTACTTAACGCATGTGTCCAGGGCACCCATGACCGTGAACTCTGGGCTTCCCCAATCACCTCCCTGGGAGAGGGCCGTGTGGGGAAGTAATTCTTCGACCCTGCCCTCTTCCTCCGGAGGTCACCGTGGTTTCCTCGGACTGGTAACCCTCCTCCAGCCAGCACTCCTTGTTAGGCGGTCCATTTCTATCTAAACCGTGATAACCACACAGGAAGTTGGTGATACATTTTTACCAAAGGGTGATACACCTGTCATCCAGATGCAAGGAGCCCTGCTGCTGTAGTGGGTTCTGTGTTGGGCTGTCGCCTGAAAGTCATCTGTTGGACCCGTCCCTCTGAGGAGAAAGATGATTTTCAGCCTGGGTCGCTATGAATTAGACTTGATGGCAGTGGGTCATCATTGTAGGCTTTTACCACTAGGGAAGCTCCCGAACTCTGTCTTCTCTCGTGAGAATCAGCCCCCTCCTTCTCTTCACTCTTTCTGTAATATAGGTGTAAACCTCTGTCACCGCGGCTTTGTCTTCACCTTTGTTTCCTTTCCCACCATCTGCATTGTTCTCTGCCTCCACCTCCCTTAATGGGCTCAGAAACAACCACCCCAAAAAACCAAAAAAAACACGTTTTTTAAAAAAATGCTTTTGCTTCAGCCTCTGAATGTGCCCACTCTGCAGTTTGCACCACCCAGTCTCTGCAGTGCTGATGCGGCATGTTTTCCAGACACCCTGCCATCTGGGGAAAGGTGACAGGTAGGCGCCCCTTCCCCCTCTCTATCCTGGGACCTTACTCCTGCTGGGAAGGGTGACACTGACCACGGAGAGGGTTCTGAATGCAAGGCTGCCAAGAAAGCGAGCGACTATGACAAGCCTTGTACTTAGGAGTCGGTCCGATGCTCTCCTTCGGTTTTTCAGTGACCCGTGCCGCAGTGAACCGCTAGACAGCACAAAAGGCTGGACCACGCACAGCGAGCCTCTGTCCTGCCACGCCGGCCCGCGTTCTCCCCGAGGAGCGTCTGCTCTCAGGGCAAGCACATCCACACTGCTCTCTTTCCCTCTAGGTGTCTCTTGGAATCAGTTTCAGAGCAGCCCGTGTGGGTCCATGTCATTCTTCTTGAGCCACTTGGTAAATCATTGTCTTGGATCTCCCGTCCTTTATAACTATTAAGTTTACTTGGATCCATCATCAAGGCCCATGGAAGCAGTAGTCAAGAAATCCCATTGGGCATATCCGCTGTAAAAGGCCTCTTTTTAAAGTATTAAAAGCAACGATGTTTTGAAGATTAAGGTGCGCGTGATCCAAGCCCCAGTGCCGTCAGCCTCCTATGCATGCAAAGGCTAGACGGTGCAAAGAGCGGCCGCAGAAGTGGAGCCTGGGCCATGGGTGAAGTGTGTTTATGTCTATCTCGGGCTGCCAGAAGAACATTTGGGAAGTACAGTCAGAAGGTTCCTTAGAAACAAAGATGGCAAGACCGTCTTGTCCCTGCAGAAGGACATCATGCTGGTCCACTGGAAAGGGGCAAGACTCGACAGGATGGATTGGTAACAATGGCTGCGACGACGACGGTGGGGATGATGCCGGTGAGCTGTTGAACACAGGGCCATCATGAGTCAGAACCAACTTGACATGCAGTGAACCCTTGCTGAGCACGACAGGACCGATGGCCAAGTGCTCATCTGCTAACTTAAAAGTCGATGGTTTGAACCCAGCGGTCGCTTCCTCAGAGGACAGTGTGAGCATCCGTTTCTGGGAAGATCCCAACCCTGGGGACCCTGTTGGGCAACTGTACTCTGTCCCTCGGGGGGTTAACAAGAGAGCAACAGGTGTTGTTTATTTGGGTATTAAACATTTGAGTTATAATGTTTCATTATGCAAAATAACGGTAGAAAGCGCGTGTGTATTTATTCATAATTTGGATCTGCATAGAGAGCCTACATTCAAAAGAAAGAAAGGCAATGGTTATGTCTGAGGGTGGCGCACTAAGCATTCTAAAGTATCACAGCCCTACGCCACCTTCCAAGGAAAGACCTCAGATTTCACTCCCCCCTCCGCATTTCCTCCAGATAATTCCCCAAGAGGTACTATTAATTGTCTACTCATCTAGAAGGTAAAATGTGAATTTTTCAATATCACCACATGAGAAGAAACCTGGACAGTTCACTGGGTCTCCCTTCTGGTGGAGGGCTATGGCTCTGACCTTGTTTTGAGGTAGGGACCCTCTTGTAGATTGGGTGGGAAAAGGCTAAGTCCTCAACAGCAACACAGGTTCACTGTATACAATCCTAGGTATCCCATGGAATGGAGATGCAAAGCCCCACTTTAACAAAGGTAAGTGCTATCTTAGGGGACACCTAACTCCTGGGGAGGTAGAACATTTGTATATACTGAAGGAAAGCAGATACGTAACAGACTTGACCAGTCTGAGCCAAGCTTTCTGCATCTTGCTGGTCCAGCGCCCTGCCTCTTGGGAGCTGCCGGACCTATGGGTCAAGCAGTGTTGGCTACAGAATCACCGCTCTTAAGGACCCATAAATCTTGAGCTTGAGGAGTCCTGAGTCCTCTACTTTGCTCTTCCCTTTGGCCACAAGGCCTGACCTGTGTGACCTACAGATCCATGGATTAGCTGTCCCTCGTGGATGGTACCAGCTCTGAAGCTGGGTCTGGCTGTACGGGACCCGCTGGTGGTCACCAGAGTGCCCAAACTTAGAATTCCACAGGCAGGTTCTGGCCTTTGAAATCTCTGAGGAGCTGCCTTTGAAGCGGCCGTACTGCCTGG